ATATATATATATATATATATATATATATATATATTATATATATATATATATATAATTGTTATTTTTATTATTATATTTTGCATATGTAAAGTTCACATATATAGGACAGAAAATTGTAGAAAGTCTTTAAAATTGTCTTCAAAATTTGATGAAAAAGAAAGCAACGAAAATTGTAACAGCTCGGTGCTTCCTAAGTAACGATAACGAGGCGATATCTGATAATATAAGGTAACAAGATGATATTAAGATATCTTTCAAAATGAGTAACGGTAACAGTGGGTAACGAGTTACTTCGAAAGAGTAATTTTCTCAACACTGTACAGAACATGTGCAAAACACTTAAGATGCGAAATGCCAAGATACTGATCGGCATTAAATATGGAGGGACGTAATGCCCCGCGGGAACATGTGTTTAGAGAGAGCCAGTCACACAGTTACGTTCTTTCGTGAGGTATTTAATTATGAGATACTTAATTGCGAGTGCGAGGTACTCGGGAGAACATCTGTCCCGCGTCGTGATCTGGAACAGTCGGGATTAAACCCGACTAAAGTCTTCGTTGTCGTCGTTTCGATTTGGAATAAGCTTTTCTCGCGACAACGAGTGCTTCTGCCGATTTCTTTCTTTTTTCTTTTCTTTCCAGCGATGCTTAAGATAAAAGTACCAAGGACATGGACCTAATCTTGGACGTTTTTATTGTTTTGATCTTCAAATATAAACATTTAAACTTTCAACATAAAATATGTATACAAATATTAGGCATATACATACGTTCCACGTTGAGAGTTTAAATATTCGTATTTAAACACCGAAATAATAAAGAGTGTCTAGACGCGTGTCCAGGAATTGGTACTTTTATCTTTTCGTTAATGGAGTACCTTTTCAATTCTGTTCTACGCAAGTGGGAAGAGCTAACGTCCGCCTCCTTGGTGTTCAGTTGCACAAGTCTTAAAATTCGTAAACGAAGTATCTGAATTACGCGTCAATTGCATCGATTTATCGATATTTCAGCGACTAAATAAAAAACTGAAATAGTTAAATAAAAAATTCTAAATAGTCTAAGTAGCAAGATAGAATCAATTTGTTTTAAAAGTTCGAGATGTTGGAGAATTCTAGAACTTCCGTAAAACTGAAGACTAAAGAAGCGGAGCTCGGATCCTTCACTTCCAAGGTACAGAATTATTTGTTCGGTGCTGCACATGTGCCTTGTGGTTAGTGCTGTGCGCTGCTTCGCCTGTTAACTCTAGGATGCACTGTTCGATTGTCAAATTTCTTCAGAAATTTAATTTTCCATTTAATACCATTGAAATATTGGCAAGTGCAAATTTTCATATATGTTCTTAAACGAGAGATCCTCACATTTCAAATTCGAATTATTCAATTGTCATTGAATCGAACCTGAATTAATTTTCTCGATTTTGAGGCCGATTTTCTATAATTGACTGTAATCAAGCGTATGAATTTTCATACACATATTTAAACGCGGGATTTTCATTTTTCAGATTTGGATTACTTAATTTCCAGTTAAACCAAATCTAAATTAATTTTAAAATTGATTTTTTTTATAATTGATCAAGCATTTATAAATTTTTGTAGATATTTCTCTTCATACGATTTTCAGATTTAGATTAATTAATTACGAGTTGAATTGGATCTGAATTAGCTCGATTTCGAAAGCGATTCTTTATAATTGATGGTATCAATCAAACAAATAAAAAATGCAGCCAAATTTTGTCCCATTTTGCGAAATTCGAAATCTTAAATTATTTTTTAATAAAATTGTAACTATTTATGAGTAAATATATATAAGTAATACGCCTCTTACTGGAAAGATGGCATAATACGTATTCTGTCGAAATAAATAATAATTAGAACATATAGGGAATGTTACAAGAAATAAAAAAAAATGAAAATCTTTATCAATAAAATGATACAAATTATAAATGTTAATAATATTTCTTAATTTAGGATGATTTTTACCAAACTCCTGTTAACTTAATCGCGAATCAATTTCGTTGTACAACTAGCAGAACGAGAATGCAACACATTTCAAATGAAAATTTAAATAATATTACTATTCCTATCAATAATAGTAACAAAACAAGTTATTTAAAAATTGACGTTATATTTTTTCTAAGACAGCGCCATCTGTTGGTTAATAATAAAACTAAAATATTATTTAAAAATTGATTTGTTATTTTTTCTTGATGTAGAGCGCCATCTGTTGGTTTTGAAATTTTTTTGGAGTCGTTTTCTCTGAAATGGTGAGGCACATCGCACACTTGATACTTATATATGTATATTTAATAACCCACACACCAATAGTTACAATTTTATAAAAAAAAATTGAAAACGTCAATTTCAAAACACAAAATGAAGCTAAAAACTTATGATAGCTCGGCCGCTCATTTTTCATACATATTTTAACACAAGATTTCCCAATTCAGATGATTTAATTTCCAGGCGAATCTAAACTATCTTAATATCGATCCTTTATAATTAGCGCTAATCAAACGTATAAATTTCCATACATATTTTTGCAAGAAATGTTTAGATTTGGATTATTAAAAATTACCAGTTGAATTGAATCTGAATTATCTTTCCTCGAGATCGAGTCTTTGTTTAATTAACGGCAATTTCTCCCCTCCTATGATCGCGAATACTTCGCGCCCGCGGCTCACTCGCGTTACAAAAGCCAAATGTACTTTCTGCCGAGCGAGCAGTTCTCGGAGTGCATCCTAGTGCCAAGAGGACTCCGAACGGAGATACGTACACGTCCTCGTTGTCGGCGACCTTGGTGTCGTCCGACTCGCATATACCCAGCGACGCGCACACGCTGCCCATCGCGTGTCGTAAGAGGCAGCAATTAGGTACGCGTCGATCGTCGCTCGTCACTGACGAATCGAGTCAACGAGGAACAGCTCTTAGCACATGCGAAATCCTCTCTCTACGTGCGCGCGAACACGCGGAGGTAGGTGGAGGTAGACAGGCGGACGGATCGGTTCGTTAAACCATCGCTATCACATCCGAGGATGTCGCTAAAGTCTCGTCCGGCCGTCATAAACCCGAGCCGCGGAGCAGCCTGGCACAAGTTGTTCGTTAGATCAAACGGGACAGGTCAGGGAGAAAGAAGGAGGGAATGATCGCGGATGGCACAAAACACATACGCGCCGCGTCGACTTTCCGCGACGTTCCGGCCCAGATCGAGGAAATCGCGAGGAAAATCAACTATGTGTAGATTCCAATTGAATCAGATCAGCAGCTTGTCGTATACAATGTCGTCCAATCGAAGAGTGTCTCATGTACGTCAAGTTGGGGCAAAACATCCAATTATCGATCCCCCTTAGTCATTGGCACTCTAGGAAGATTTGGTTTTGCCTGTAAAGTTCTCTTTTGAAGTGATAGGATGCGGGCAAGAGGTTTACCTGCAACGTAGGTCGCAAAAAAGGCCAGGTTTTTCTCTCTAAAGTGCCAATTACCAAGGGAATGCCAATAATTGCGCCTGCATTAACAACAATACACTCAATATATAATTGGCTAGGGGAGAGAAGAGGAAGAACGAGCGGAGAGGAGGGGTAAGGAGAAAAGAAGTGATACACTTTCTCACATCCCGCGGGGGAGAGAGAAAGAGAGACTTTCTCACGGATACGTACTCGTCGCTCGACGTGGTATCCTTCGAAGTACATCCGCCCATGTTCGCTGCAACGAAGACGAAGACTACGACGAGAAGAGACGACGCCCCTGACGAGAGCGAGAGCGACAGCGAGAGCAAGAGGGAGACGAAGATGAAGACGGACGGAAACCGGGAGAGAGGGAGACTAAGAGAAAGCGAGCAAGTCTCGAGGTGGAGGAAGAAGAGCGGAAGGAGGAGGAGGAGGAGGAGGAGGAGGAGGACTAAGAAAGAGGGTGATCAAACGAGAAGAAAACCAAGGCAGGAGCAAGGACTACTTTTGCTGGTAGACTTGACTGCTCTCAAACGCGCCGAAAGGCGGACAACGACAGAGCGAGCGAGTGTGAGCGAGAGGAAGAGAGAGTGAGTGAAGTTCCTTCTTCACGCGCGACGACACACGCGAGACGTAAGCCACCGCGCGACGGATCAAAAGTCACGATCCTGAAGCAGACGCGAGCGGTAAGTGCGTGCTTCCGGCACAAAATGACGACGGGAGAGCGAGCGAGATGGCGAAATAAAGAAAGGAACGCGGCTGTGGACGGAGAGTCGTCGTCGTCGTCGCCGTCGTCGTCGTCGTCGTCGTCGTCGTCGTCGTTGTCGTCGTCGTTGTAACGTCGTTACGACGTCCTCGTGGCCGACTTGGTGCCCTTCACCCCTTCCCTCTCACTGATACTTCCGGTCGGCGGCACTTGGCCGTCTCCGCGAAACTGCCGGCTTTCTGATCCGCTCGCGTGCGCGACAACGAGTCCCTTCGCGATGTCAACTGCGTTGTCCTTGGCGGACTGTATCCTCGCGACCCGGGCGGGCACGCACCGTTCGCTGCTCGACGTAGGTCGAGGGTCAAAGGTCGCGGCCGAGAGACCTTTCTCTCTTCTCTCCTATTTACTCCCCGCTTTCACCGCCTGCGTCCCTCCCTCCTCTCCGTTCCCTTCTTCCACGGCTGGACCCGTCCTCCGCCTGATCGCTGAGGGACGCGCTTCTTCCTGCTGCTGCTCTTCCGGCTCCCGCGTGTGTCTGTCCGTCTATCTCCTCGCGCTGAGCGTCACGCCTGCTCTTCGTGGTCTGCGACGATGGACGAAGATGTAAGCGCGCACGAAGTGGTGGTGCTCTCGCGTTCGGTTCTCGCGTCAATTCACCGCGTCCCCGCAGCCGGCTTGATCTCGAGAGCGACGGATGGATGTGCGAGCGGGCCACCCGGGGGAGAACGAGGTGTAGCCCAAAGTGGATGCGCAACCCACGCGTTTTCATCCGAAGTGAAGTGAACGGGAATTTTGATACGATCTTTCGCGGCGCTTCGCTTCGATTCTCGCCGAAAGCCAACAAGAAAGAGATATCATCTTGGATCTCTCTCTCTCTCTCTCTCTCTCTTTCTCTCTCCCTCCCTCTTTCTGTCTCTCTAACTGTCAGTCGGTGCGACTCGCGTGACACGAAGCGATACAAAGTTAATCCATGTCTGCAGTATATCTCGAGAGGAGCGCGCCCCTCGAAAAATAACTCTCAATCTCGCGGGAGTTAATTAAGACCATCGCGATAAGAGGAGCGTCCTATCGCTTTATCTGTTTCTCTCGTTTCTTTTTCTTCAAATCACGATAAATTTCCGCGTTACCGCCCGTGAAGATTTCCGGCGCTCGAAAGTCGAGCCGAGTTCGCGAAGGGAGTAAAGAGCGCGTACACAGAAAAGCCCGCGAAGCGACATCGCTTCGCTGCTTAAGCGTTTGACCGTTTCTTCTTCTTCTTTCCTCTCACCGGAGGGAGGAAGAGAGCGCGAAAATCCGCGCACCGAAACGGTGACTCGCAACCGCCCCGAGAAGCCGCGCGCGTTCAACGACCGTGATATCGAGCGAGCGGACTTTATCCCACCGGGTTTGAAGCGCACACACCCTAAACTACAATTATACAGTCCGAACGTGACGAGAGCCGGCCGTGACGCCGAGTCACACGCACCCTCTAATGGATCTATTAGACCCATCGTCGGCTGGCGCGAAAGATTTGTCGGTGCTCTGCCGAGCTCCCTCCGAATTGAGTTTTACTTCTCGAGGAATTTCCCGGAGGAAGACAAGTCGCGCGCAAATGAAGCTACGAGAGTTCCCCGACTTGGCATCGCGATTGAACTTCACCTCGTTCTAATCTCGACCTCGCGTGACGGACCTTTCGCGGCCGTCCCCGACGCTGCAACAGTTCAACAGTTTTGCGTCCCGCGGTGTCTCGCCGGCAGGAAGCTAATGGGATGCAAGTATCGAGCAACAGAAAGAACACGCAAGTTATCACGCGTATTGCAAGATTTGTCCCGCGAGTACCAGTGGCTCTCCGGGGAGCGTTTTCTACAATAACGTTGCCCCAACGTGATGAAATCCATGCATTAACGAGGCGCCGCAACCACGGGACAAAACTGATGAACGAATGCTACTACACTGCAGGACACTCTCGATCTCGCGATGTGAATCACTGACAGCCCTCTCTGCATTACCGAAACACCCCCTCTCCCGATCTAGGAGGATTCTCTTCTCAGATCGCTCGAGGCGGAACAGAATCTCTGGGCCGATCCGAGTCTCGGGGATGTCGCGAGTTGCCGTCGACGAGGAGGAGCCGCGAGGAACGTGATTCTCGCGAGGCAATCGTAAGCGAGAGAGGCACGGGGCCGACTAAACGGAGCTACCACCACTTCACTGATCTCACTGGCAACCGCGGGGATACGCGCGCGTTATTATATCTCGTGCGCGCGGGTCAAGGGAGACAACAGGCGGCGAGGAGACGCGTGATTCCCGTCGGCGACGATCCGCGGGGGAGGAAAACGCAGCAGGCCGGCCGGCCGGCGTCGCGCGAGTACGAGGGTGTCGTCGACACCGGCGACGAGCGGGTTGGTGCCAGTCGGCCGACGAGAGAGACAGAGGGAGAGAGAGAGAATGAGCACGCGGAAGCACCAACACCTCCTCCTCGGGGAGGAACCGTTCGCGGTCACTTGACAGCACCTATTCTTCCTCTTGTCCTTCCTCTTCCTCTTGTCCTTGTGCTGGCGACCGGGCCGGGCCGATCCGATCGTGCGTTGGGCGCGCCCTTCGGTGGTCGGTGCGCGTGTATAAAACACTCTCTATACGTATGCACGCGCGTATGGGTCCTTAATGATGTGGGTGTACTTCTAGCCTTTGTGTGTGTGTATGGGCCCGCGCGTGTATGTACGTATATATACACGTTTGTGTGCAAAATCGAGCGATATATATATATACATATATATATATACGTATGTATCTATTTCTCAAAAACGTGTGCGTGTGCGTTATGCGTGCGGTAGTGGTCGAACGACGACTAATTTGTGCGTAACACGGGTATATATGTATATATATGTATAAGTATCGAACTTTCCTTTTAAGCGCGCGCGGTTGAAAACGTGAAGAATTTTTGGTGGTGTGTGGTGTGAGAGATGTGAACACTACAGTCTCTACGCTATCACTAAGCAGCAGGCATTCTGCGTGCCGTGATCTCTCTCTCTCTCTCTCTCTTGCTCTTACTCTTTCGCTCTCTCTTTCTCTCTCCATCGAGCCACCTCGTCCTCGTCTAACGCGAGCTTTCGCCCGCTTGAAAACGTCTAGCTCGCTCGCTCGCTCTCTCAGCCTCGCTCCCTACTCTCCTCTCTTCAGGGTGGGGCACACCGCCGCCGCCGTCCAGCGGCACAGAAGGATACCCGGTCGATAGCACGCACCTACACCCACACCGCCGCCGCCGCCGCCGCCGCCGCCGCCACCGTCGCCGCCAGTGCTGGCGGTGCCGGCGGCGACCCTCTCTCGTTGCTGCTGCGTGCGGGGAAACTCACGCACACGTGCGTGAGTGTATACGTACGTGCTGCACCGGCGCGGGAGAGAACGGTGCTCATGACGGGGACGGTGGTGGTGGTGGTGGTGGCGATGAAGGAGGTGGAGATGGTGGTGGTTGCGCTCGCGATTTCGGGCACGGCGCCGAATTTCCGGCGCTCGACTCGACATGCGTCCCCCGATTTGTCCGAGCGCGTATCGCGACGTTAACCAACCCTTCAGTCGGCTGCGAACGTTGTGCACACGGGGCGGCACAGCCCCGTGAAGGGGAAGGAAGGCGCTCGTCGAGGAGCAGCGGTCTGGGGCCGTGCGGTAGTCCGCGCGAGAAAAACGAAAGTCGTTAACGAGTCAACAATGCGTGGCTCGGGAACCCGACCCGGGCAGGTATTATGGGGACAGTTGCGGAAAGGCTCCCGCGATCGGGTAACTCCGTTATTCCGCGACCGTCTGCGTCGAGTCTACCTCGACGTCGCGTTCCGTTCTGCTCGATTTTCAGGGAAAACAGCTGTTTATTCATTAATAGTACATACGCGTACATAGAAATACATCACTGTAAATATGTTGTGGCATTAGGTGAAGGAACACCAGCTTTTTATTCATCATTAATAATATACTCGACGCAAATATATTATTGCAGAAACGTGTGGTGACATTAGTTAAATATTGAAACTATAGCAAATTACGCGGTATTGTCGCGAAGTAAACGAATTTCTATGGATCAGTCTGGAAGAAAGCAATTTAAGCCGTAAAGGATTAAATGTCCTATTATGTTATCTGCATGAAAGAAAATTTAGTTATGTTAACGTAGAGTTTAATCTTAAGGAATGAATCAACGCGTTTTGATTGAGGGATACAAAAGTTCTGGTTCTTATATCTTGGATTTGATTTGAAGGAGTTTCGCTTCCTTCAACCAGAACGCGTTGATTGGTCCATTAAAATCAAACTTCATGTTAGTACAACTGAACATTTTTCTCCCTGGAAAAAAACGGAATCGTGTCGGTTGAAAAACTTTCCGAGAATAGTTGCCTCTGAGGATTATAAAGCTGTTCGAGAGGGATTCCGATCGGAATAAGTCCGTTCTTCCTAGCAATAGGAATCTAGAGAATGACGGGAATCTTCCCTTTTTGAACATAATTGTTTTGCTCAGAAAATGTTCCAATTGGAGTAATTACGTCATTCCCTAAGCGTTCTGCTGAGTTGTTTGCGCAAAACGTGATCATACTCCGGAACCTTTCCAGAATAACCACACTGATCTTTTTCAGGTAAAAATTCGAAGTCACTTAATAAATCGTTTATTCAAATCGCAGAGTTCTCGGAAAACTAGAGAACACTTTATAAGGATCATATTTTTAGAGATCATTTTGTAAGAGAAATCTGATGTCAAGTTGGCCAATCAAATATTGTGAGCTGTATTGAGGGAAATGACGGAAGAAAAAAGCGCAAAATGTTCCTTTTAGAACACGGAAGAAATACTTAAAAACAATCTTTTACGATTCCTTTTTCCATTGTTTATTCTGATAATGAATCCATAAACGAAATGCAGGTTAACATGACCTTTGGAACTTTATTCCGTATGTTTAGCACCAAGGGCCGACTGTTCCAACCTCTTGGTAAGCTAACTGACAGTTAAATCACATGTCTGTCTTCGTTTTGTCTTCAAATTAGACAAAGACAGACACATGTTTCAACTGTTAGGTAGCTCACCAAGAAGTTGGAACAATTCTAACATTAAATGCGTGTCTCTGTCTATAACTTCCGTTTTTATATGAGCGCCGCGTGTGACGTTGTTTCAGCTTGAAAAGCAAAAAGACATATTTAGCGTTCCCTAAGCGTCCCAAAACACGACCCTTGGGCCAACTTGCCTTAGTTCCCCTATCATTGGATTACTTTCACATAGAAAAAACTCCATTCGTGTAACTGATTTTCTGCTGTCTGGGGACCAGACGGAAACTCGGTTATAGGAACAGAACAATTTCTGTAGGGGGCTTCTATTCAGTCTAATGCTCTCAGTTATTTGAACCGAGCTTCCACGCAGTCGAGTGTTTTCAGTCGCGACGACATTGATATCACAGGCATGTTCTTTTTAGCTGACTATTAGTGCTGCACTGAAACTTTGTCCCTTTTCCCTATAACGTCAAGTTATAACTCTAACACCAAAAAATGTCTCCAACCCAAATCGAAATTTTGACTTCACTCTCGGCCTCAATATTCCAGTTAACAGCTACTTTAATACCCTGAAACTTACATCTCTTTTAATTCTATTTAACCTACCCACTTTGTCGCGTCTTTAGAATCTACAAATATTTTGTAGTTTTTTGTTATTTAAGAATGTTAAAGTAGGACGTTTTTACGTTATTAAATATATTCTGATCCTTTAGAATATACAGATGTCAGAAAGTTCAGGTCGAAAATAGGACTACAATTTCCACTCGAAAAGATCAACTAAAAAAGAGCAGACCTCGATTTTCGTTTGGTTCTCTCACACAAACTGCATTCATCAACGATGCAATCTAGCAAAGTTCAATCATTCTAATCTTGTCTTTTGCTCCTGAGGGGATCTGTTCCGGAAAAAAAAGTTTTCCCTTTCTCCTTCAATCATTTTCCAATCTCTAGCGTTATCCATGCGCGATTTTTCAGATCTCCCCTCCCTTCCGCCGTATATTCGACTTGGTTCTGTCTCTTACTACTGGTAAAAAGTTTCCACTCTCGGAATCGGAGTTTTTACTCCCGCAAACTTCTTCGCCGACGTCCAGGGCCGGACTTCTTCCTCTCTCGCGCAATGCTATCGATTTTACGTGTGCGCGCGCGCTAATACGCTCTCGCGATCTCGTCACGCTCCAGTGGGCCGCTTTTAAATCGCCGAAATACCTGCCGCTGACATTTGTTAACATTCAGAGTCCCGGCAAAAGTGAAAGATACTGAGGGATATGCCGGTCACGCCTCGTCGCGTACAAACCCACGCCGGCTTGTTAACTTATCCAAATTTTCCGTACGGTGTCTGCCAACGCAGTACACGCGACGCGGAAGGAAAGAGAAGAAAAATAAAAATAGAAGAAAAATAAAAATAGAAAAAAAAAAAAAGAAACTAGATCGTCACATTTTAGTGAAGAATAACGAGGTAACCACCCGAGCAGAAGTTGAATCTAGTGATTATCTAGTAATGACACAGAAAAGTTGGGTCCTACATCGCTACTAGCTAGGAATGTAACGCTCACTTCTCCTAGTGGCTGTACCAGAAAAATTATCTAGTAGCTAGATACAAAAAAATAACTTGTAACTATAATTGGTATAAGTTCTGATATTCAATTTCTATTCAGGATTTACCGATGATTTTCTATCTCATTACTGTGTAATCTTTTTCATCTAGCCACTATCTATGTAATTGATATAGTTATCAGATAGTCCTGACATTCAAAAGACTGAGTATATTTAGCCAGTCATTGGCTAGAAAAGTTATCTAGTCATTACTATCTAGCTAGTCTTGAAATCTGCTCTATTAGATACATTTTTTGCTCGGGCACCGAGCAAGACTCGGCTTCTTAAAGTCCTTGCACAATGCCAGGCTACAGGCAATAGAAATAAGCACTAGCCAATAGGAACGGAGAATAGAAAGAATTGACCAATCCGAATTCCTATTCCCTGTTCCTTATTGCCTGTTGCCTGGCATTCTGCAAGAGCCTTTATTCTCGCTCTCTTCCTCTCCCTCCCTCTTTCTCCGTCAGTTTGCGCAAACGTGTCACTCTTCGGAATTATTGTCGTCATTATTACAGCCGGAAGCGAGAAGCGGCGATTCAAAGGGCTCGTTACACCTCCTCATCCACCACTTCGCAGCCTCTTCAGCCTCACGGAGGAGGAGGAGGAGAACGTTGAAAAGACTCGTCGAGCAATGAAAAGGGCGGCCCAAAATGCCGGAGAAACTGTGGCGTGCAGCACTACCGCCATGTAAATTTAACGCGACCTGCACTTTTAACTGTCCGCGACGTGACGAGGTGAGTTCGCGACATGAACTTAAAGAGATAGACTGCGCATTCTTATAAGACGATTGAAGACAAGAGTAAAGGGCAAGAGATACACTGAGTAAGGTGCTCTTTCTGGCACACATTACTGTAGGAGTACACATGACGTAGGGGAAACAAAGTAGGGATTATTGCTTTGTTCTTTTTAACTACACTGCTATAATAAGTTAGAGCGAGTGAGTAATAAATAGCAAGTTAGAAGTTTCACTCTAATTTGTTTCACTCTAATTTATTATAATTATAATTATATATATTCACTCTAACTAGTTCAGTAGTGTAGCTAAAAAGAACAGACCACATGTGTCATTGCTATTCTTTTTTTAGTTCTCCTCCATCAACTAGACAATTAGACAAGCATCTTACTCTCTCATTGGGCGTTTACGTGTAAATTATGATAGCATGATGACATAATTTACGCGTTATTTAAATGAAAAACGATCGTGTATATACCGTATAAAAAATATGTGAACAACCTACGTTCGCTTCACACAAAAAAATCACCCTAACGCTAAACAAATTTTGCTATCTACGGCGTAACCCTATATTCTCTTATCGCCCTCTCTCGCTAATGCTAAATCCGGTCGTTCAATGAGAATACGCAATCTACACTAAAAAAATTACAGTGCATTATATAAATAATTGTAAAATTGCATAATAGGTGAAAATTTATAAAAAAAACTAACAAATTTATATATTTTTCCATAAGAAATTTTCCTATGGAAAATTTATAAAAAAAAACTAACAAATTTATATATTTTTATTTTCTATTTGTTGTATAATTGACTCATAATATACTTATTATTCATGTAAATTTACATACTATTTTTACAATGCACCTCTATAAGTCTATGATTCACAATGAAACAAGTAGTCTGCTCTTTTTTAGAGCACACTGCCTGCATTAGTTTTCACTAATTTTCTTCTCCACTTTCCATCAAGTCAACTATATACCTGTCTCTTTCTAAGTTCCTTTTAAGTGAACACTAGTTCAGCGAAAAAGAACAGACTTAAAATTGTCACATGCGATTCGACAGAGTCTCTCTGTCTCTGACTGCGTGCTGTTTTACTGGCAGTGTTATTGAAATGGCGTCATTATAGTACCATTGCTGCAGCCGTTCCGAAATTATTGCATTACTGCCAGCAAAACTGTGACGTATTTTGGAACAGCATTGCAGTGTACTGCAGGAATTATGAGATCGTTATAACTATGATTTGTGTATGTAGAACGAGACAGAAATATACGACTATTGCAAAAATGGATAGAAGAGCAAAGATTTTTGTGTGCTTAGCTATCATTGAGGTGTTGTGTAAACGTAGCATTGATAGTTCTGAAGAAGATGAATTATTCGAATCAATTCCCGCTACAAACAGTTTGACAAAAAAAAAAAAAAAACCCAAAAATTACTCGGGTATTGTAAACGAATATTCTAATGTGGAATTTAGAAGTTATTTTCGGCAATGAGAACGCTAGCAAGATATTCTTCAGCTTGTAACTTAACCATATCGGTGCAAAAGTGAAGATTTTAAAAGAAAACATTATCCCTCTTAAGAACAGTTAACTTTAAATCGCAGAATGTCGCGTGCAGTATGCATATTATTTCTTCTACGTCATAAGGTAAATGTCCCAATGCCCGGATATGTACCTAATCCCGGACACTCTTATTATTTTGAATATTTTTGAATATTTCTCTAAATATTTCATCTTTCAACGTACACTAAATATAAATATTAAGTGTATGTATACCAATATATATGTATTGAAAGTTCAAATATTCATAATCAAATATAAAAATAATAACAATGTCCGGAGATTGATACATGTCCGGACTTGTGTGAACTTGGCACACCATATTTAAAAATGTGACATTTTTTTTAGGGTTCTGATACTCTCTTGAAAAGTTCTAAAGTTCTATGCAACAATTTTAAATAGTTCCGGTCATTAAATACAAAAAAATAGACTTTTAAAAAAAGGTGCGCTAAGTTCACGCAGCGCACCTAATCAGTAAAATCAACTATTTCTTTAGAGTTCCGGTTTGTTTTACAATAGTTTTAGAGTTCTATATCATATTTAACAATAGTTTTACTAATTAAAAGCGAAAAGTCGATTTGCGAAGACCTAATTCACAAAATACCGATAACAAAATAAGAGAGATTAACACTATTTCGCGAGTTCGGCATATTTGAAAATATTTTCAACATTCACTTGTAATCAGGGAATGAAAATATAAAGAGTTTTATGCGATAGCAGAAATAATTTCTTCATAAAAAATTATAAAGTGTTCGAGGTCGCATAACTTTAGCAGCAGGACGGGTGCGCCAGCCGCACTTTGAGAGTTCCATTGGTTTAAAAATATTTTTAACGTTCACTTATGATCAGAAAACGAATGTCCAAAGAGTTCTGCGCGACAGCAGTAATAATTTATTTATAAAAAATCATATAGTATTCGAGGTCGCGTACATTTACGAGCAGGTGGGGTGCGCTACCTGCGCTTTGAGAGTTCTGTCGGTTTAAAAATATTTTCAACGTTCATTTGTAATCAGGGAATGAAAATATAAAGAGTTCTGCGCGATTGCGGTAATAAATTATTTATAAAAAATTATATAATGTCCGAGATCGCGTAAATGTACCTCGGACCTCGGACACTATATAATTTTTTATAAATAATTTATTACTGCAATCGCGCAGAACTCTTTATATTTTCATTTCCTGATTACAAGTGAACGTTGAAAATATTTTCAAATATGCAAAACTCGCGAAATAGTGTTAATCTCTCTTATTTTGTTGTCCGTATTTCACACTTTGTGAATTAGGTCTTCGCAAATCGACTTTTCGCTTTTAATTAGTAGAATTATTGTTATATATGATATAGAACTCTAGAACTATTGTAAAACAAACCGGAACTCTAAAGAAATAGTTGATTTTACTGATTAGGTGCGCTGCGTGAACTTAGCGCACCTTTTTTTAAAAGTCTATTTTTTTGTATTTAATGACTGGAACTATTTAAAATTGTTGCATAGAGCTCTAGAACTTTTCAAGAGAGTATCAGAACTCTAAAAAAAATGTCACATTTTTAAATATGGTGTGCCAAGTTCACACAAGTCATGTCCGGGGCATTGATACGTTTACCTTACGCTTCATTTGTTTCGGCATCTAGCAACTGAATTTCTCTGCTAAATTGTCGCCGTCTTTGTACCGCAACTGCTTCATTTCGTGAAGCTGCAGAGTAGCCGCAATGGCAATGTGGCCGCCATTTATGACGTCACTGGTAGACGCTGCCGCAATGCACCGTGTGTTAATAACGGAGCAACTTTTCGGTATTTGCCAGTACTGGCAGTGAATATCGCGGAAGCCTCTATCTATCTCTCTCGTTGTTCTATCTGTTCGTCGTTTCAAGAGTGATGCTTCTTATCGACGCGCCGATTGCGATCTTGTGTTCGCGCGATGTCTCACTCAGGCGCGATAACGTTATTATCGCGACACTGGATACTCAGTGTGTGTGTGTGTGTGTGTGTGTGTGTGTGTGTGTGTGTGTGTGTGTGTGTACGCGTATATATGTGTGTGTGATGGGCGATGATAACGAGAGCGACAATTCGCGGATGCACTGCGCTTTTCTCACCTGCCGACGATCGCGATCGCGATCGCGACGATAACGAGCCGATGGTGATAATGAAACTTCGCTGCGACAACGAAAAAATATGACTCGCGGCCTTGGTAAGATTTAATCAAAATCCTTTCATTTGTCGCGATCGCGCGACGACTTACGCAATAATTTATGTCGTCTCGGGAGAGCGTCGTTTTCGTCGTCGTCGTCGAGTCAATATTTGAGGCTTGCGATACAACGATGACGTCCCGATACGATGTAACATCAACGCCGCTTTACACGCGTGTATTCTCTTCGTCTTATTCTGATAAGTCAAGAAATTTAGTCGAGTCGTGAGAGATCACACACACCCGAAAATTACATCTAATCAATTATGTTCAATTGATACCAATTCACTTGAAGAGTGCGAACTTTAATTTCTGTTTAAAGAATTTTTAGGGACTTTGATCTTCTTTTAAAGAGATTTTTATACCAAGTCAAATAAAACTAGGAAGCAACTTGCAAAAACAAATCTATAAATTACGCGATTCTAATGATTCCTTCCCTTGTCTTCACTAAACGGGAAATATATATGAAAAAAATGCCAGCGGACGCGCAGATCGCAAAGTATTATTGAAGGAATGCTTTTCGCGTTATCATCGTCGAAGTCCCGTCTCGAAGTCGCACCGCGTATCGCAGCAAAACTTGGCGCAAGTATACTGAAAAAAAGTAATCACAGATGACAACGGCGCGTAATCGACAATCGAAAGAACACAAGTAATCTCCGATTGCGTCGATAAAAAGGGGAAGAGATAAATCCACACGGCAACGGCTAAATTTGACCGCGATCTCTCTCTCTCTCTCTCTCCCCTCCCTCTCCTTTCTCCCTTGCTGTTATTTGTGCGATGAAAATCCCGCGAGAGTGACTGATTGCAACGTGACTGTTTGCCCGTGGTATTAAACGGATAACCTCGCAACGATGACGATCGTTACTACGTCGATCGCGCGTGCCACGCTCGTTTGACGACGACGACGACAGCGACGGCGCCGGCGATGACGACGGATGCATTCTGCAGAAGGAATCAGAAGATCGAATGTCCATAAACTATAAGAGCGACTTTCACCAAATTCCCATTCAGCTTGATGATTAATCGACAGAATTGCCAACAGCAATTTTTAGTTATGCAATTCGATGTAATCATCTGACAATAACTAGGAAATTAATTATGTATGTCGACAATAAAATTAATAATCTTGTGTAGCAAAGGAGAGTATGTACTTGACTGGCGATAATTTTTAAAATAGATTAATAAAGAGAAGACCAAAGAGAGAGAATGTTCTTACTTGCCTCAGCAACAAATTTTGTAACGTAATTATTATACAATCATATAT